AATAATTGCACAAAATATACAGCACTTAACATTAATAATAATAATGATAATAATATAAACAATAATTAATAAATTAATAATAATATATAATAATAATAAATAATAATAATAATAATACCATACAATACAGTACAAGACGAAAAAGCAGCATTGAAAAGAGCATGATCACGTTCACCGCACTTCACTTCACTATCACTTCACTTCACTTCCTCACTTCCTAACTTCATACACTTCACTACACTTCATCACTTCATCACTTCACTAAGCCACTACTTCACTTACTAACCACTTACCTTCCACTTCACTCATTCACTTCACTCATTTCACTTCACTTCACTACACTTCACTTCCACTACACTTTCACTTCCCTACACTTCACTTCACTCACCACTTCACACTTCCACGTTCACTTACACTTCACTTCACTACACTTCACTTCACTACACTTCACTTCACTACACTCACTTCCTCTACCTGCTTCACCACTTCACTTCACTTACTTCACTTCACACACGTTCAACCACCACTTCACTTCTAAAACTACCTTCACATATCGACATGAGCACTTCACATTCTACACATACCACTCATCACTTCACTACACTATCACAGTTACTACACCACTTCGACTACACTACAACTTCATACACTTCACTAGAATTACACGTTAACACTGATCCACTCACTAATTACGACTATCCATTTTCAATTTCTGTTGGATTACCTCCGTGAAACTACACACTTGTCACAGCACTTGCCACAGCACTTTATCCTGAGCTCGCTAGGCTACTATGGTATTATTTAATCTATTTATTTGTTAACTACATTAATATTAGGCATATCTTATAGTTTTTTATTTACTATCAATTTTTTTTTAATCTAATTTTGTTACTTAGAAAAAACTGTGGAGTTTGAATTGGTTTTCTACTGGAAAATAGTGAACTTGCTCCTGCGCCCGTTCTGGTTTGAATACCTGGTTTGAATACCTGGTTTGAATTACATACGCAAAGTTCTCTTCGATGATATTTATGCAAATATTTCGTCTATTTGTTTGGGAGCTACATACGCCTAAAAATGTGGAATCTCATTGATAGTCTGAGTTTGTTTTGGGTATGTCATTGCGTTTGAGACATCTCTTCATACTTTCATCATAACCACAAAAACGCCGAAAAGTAACACTTTATACCAACTTCACAACTTTATTTACTTGTGACATCCTGCCACGTTCGCAGTGGTCCACTTGAATTTTCTATAACAGCAAAATGGACTCTGAATACAAGAGAGTCGAGGTACGTTTCAATGACTATCTGGAGTGTCCTGAAAGGAATGTTGGCCGACAATTCGGTAGAGGAGTATTGATAAAGCACTGATCATGGAAAGCAATGGTTTCTCTGAAACATTACATCTCTGTTCTACCCTCATTAACAGAGCTTTTGCTAACTCTTCAACCACATTAGGAACTGAAAAAATAAAAATGTATTATATATATATATATATATATATATATATATATATGTGCGATATGTTTAGCCATGAAACGCATTTTGTAATAGTATGTCATTTCAGACCTGATGCTCTCACCTTTTGCATGACAGAACACCCACAAGGAAGCAAATATTGTAGATTATATTTCAATAATAAATAAATAAATAAATAAATAACTGCAATGAATATTTATTCGTAATGTAATTATACTTCCAATTATTATAAAAAAATATTGAATATTTACACTCATGACTGAAAAATAAAAATAATTAACATATCGTGGACAAATGCTAACTAATGAGTCTCAAAATCATTCTTTTGGAAGCAATAGTTGCAAACCTCAAAATTCGATACTTACCAAAAACTATTTTTGTAACCTTAAATGGATTAAAGACCACACTTTGCCATCACATGCTATATTTTGAAATCAAGTTGCTACATACCAAAATGAAAAACGCGTGAATTCACATTTATCACTTTTCCAAGTGTATTAACTAAAATTATTATCAGCATTAAGATGAGCGTTCAATTTTTTAAAATAACTTTTCTAAAATAACACAAAAACCAAGTATAAAACGAATTTTCTCAATTGATTAGTTTTCCATATATGGCGTAGAAAATTCTAATATTTAAAACGTATGGTTTCTGCTATCGAGCAGTAACTTTAAAAAAAAGTAATTTAAAAAACGTTTTTAATATTGAAAAAATTATTGTTTTTAATATTTCTCTCCTTATATATCTGCAATAAATGTTAATTAGTTCAACGAATAGGAAAGAATATGTAGGTGAAAATCTCTTCCCTCTTAAAGTACAAAAATAATTTTAAAAAACTTAAATTCTCAACATAATCTCCTAACAATAAAGTGATAATTCACTGTACAATTTTCCTCAAATTAATAAAAACATGGTATTTCTCAAAACAATATTATAATATGGTTTGTTTAAAAAATACGACAAACATTCTCACGCCATTGCGCTAAAAAGAAACTAGGCGCAGCGCGTAGTATACTCTTTCGACGCAGCGTAGTGCTAGGCCTCCATTGAGACTAGCGTCCCCAAGATTCTCGAATGTAGATCCGTATGATATTCGCAAACTGCATAAAAATATATGCTCAAAATACCATTTGTTCCCGATGGCTTGAAGATATGTTGACGTTATATTTTCTTTCAATTTCTTTTGGCGTGATATCACATTAAATCTAAAGACACGAAATACATTTACTGTAATACTTAATATACAATGAACATTGACATTTTAGTAGTAACATCTTGTAGAATTTTTTGAAAATAACTAATATTAAGAATAAGAAATAATGACTATTGCCTTTCTAGCAAGAAATCATAATATGTCCACTTTAAAATAATATCAGTCGATAAAGACAAAACTGACCAGGATACACCAGCACATATTTTCTAACATTAGTAACTATTACGTTATATTTGGACACCGCAATTTGTGTTCATATTAACACATTTCAGTTATTTTAAAACCTCATTACCTCCCTGTATCACATTAGGTGCTAAAACGTTAGGTTTTAAATATAATACATTAGGACAAATTTTGCAAAACCAAAACAGACACATCGCCAACAATAAGTAATTCTGAGAATTTTAAATTCTCGTGCCATGGCATTGTCACTGTCTTATTTGGACCCGGCATCACTTGAAAGATTCTCTTCGCAAAAAGTGAATAAGCTTTAAATTTACAAATTTGTAAGATTTGTAAAAACTACGGGAAACTACTCATATTTTCTCCAAAGTGTACATGATATTATTTAAAGATCTGGTTTTGAAGAACCTATTTCTTTAAATAATGAAAATCTTTAATAAAAATAATGCAGTTTTGCAAATTAATATTTTGCAAATTGCGACAATTCATAGTTCACCAGAAATGAGCCCTCACCATATTTTAAAAGCATTGATTTCTCTTCTTCAGAACAAAAAATGAAGGAAAAAATTGAAACAATTTTTAAGAACTTATAATTTTATTTCCCTCAAGACAAAATACGCAAACACTTGTTTTTTTAATTCTACATGGCCTTATATAAAGGTTACTTTTTAGAACAGATTTCACTAATTAAAAAATCACTACCATCAATATTGAAGTCTTTCAAAGATACTTTTTGCAATTTTCATCAAGTTCAAAGAAAATGAAACAATTCTTACGCCCATACTATTCTACCATTGCTATGTTCGAAAAAATGGAATCCTTTTGAAAAAAATATATTTGGCGCAAAATTCAACAAAACCGGTTAATGTTTTCTAAAAACTGTACATGATCTTATTCTATTAATCCATCTTCAGACATGAATTAATTTTGAGGGAAAATATTTTTTTACATTAAACATATCTATTCTTAAAACAAAGCATTTTTCATACTTTATGTTTTTATTCTCCGCCACAAATATGAGTAATTATTCTCAATAGTTCTCAAGCATTTCAAAATAACAAGTAGTCAGAGATAATATTTTTTCATTTTTCCTTGAAAATGGCAAAGAATACTTTAAAGGTTTCCAAACTTGATAGTATAATGCACAGACTTGTACATTTCATTAACATGCACATTTGTCACTTTAATAGATCCAAACAATTGTGATCCCTCGTCATACACTGATGTAAACACCATTTTCACCAAACAAAGTGTTTTCTATTGCACTCTTCATCCTCATGAATGCTTGAGTGCCTTGCGGCCAATCTTTGTTTGAAGATTTGCGCTTTTTTCAACTTCTGCTGCCGCCTACTTGGTCCAGAAGACAGAACTCCTTGGTCGAGAAGAAGGGAGGTCCAGAAGAGAGCGGATTTTTCTGCGTAACTTTTTACTTCGTTGCTTGTTACAGACAACAATGTCTGTAAATAATCAATCTAAGTGGAGTTCTCCATAATAAAATGGTAATATTACAACAAAAATCAACTCTATTCACATTCTACCGTTCCTATTACTTGGAACGGTATAATAACATATTTATTCATACTTTTAACATATTTGTTCCATTCTGATCAACTACATAACTTAAAATTGATTTTCTATTTGGCAATTAATCACAGGGGCCGATGACACAATGCACATGCGTTTTTAACTACATATTACAGATACAGTGTTAATAATTAATCTAGAACTAATAAAACTATTTATGAGAGATATATTTAATGAACATTCATAAAAATTGACATACGTATGTTTCACAGTTCATAGCTCCGCTGCCTCATGTTTTAGAAAAGTTACAATGATTTTATATCACTTCCTCATCAATTTCAGGAAAACCACACAAATCGATTCTAGACGTTGAGGCGAGTATGTTTATGTAGGGTCAAAATTCCTAAAGGCCTGTATTTTTGTAAGAAACTTTTTCGAAATTGATATGCATTATTGAGTTCATTGTGTACAAAAGTGTAGGTCGCTTTTTGCCAAAATTGATGTTTCTCCATCTATTTGGTAGAACTAGAGGCCCTGGGAATTTGCATAGAATATTTTTATTTTGGGGGTACTTTACATGAAGTCTTAACAAAATATTAAAAATTTTCTCAAAAATTGTTTCAAATATTTTATTATTTTTTTCTCGGAGACTGAAAAAGACGTTTTAAATGGTACAGGTCTTATTTTCAGTACACCTTGGAGTTTTTGAAAATGGCAAAGTTTCATTTTTTTAAAAATGTTCTTACATTTACAATATTGAATATGGAAATTTGTTTCCTCATGAAAAATGTTGTTTAAAGATACGATCTTAAGCTCTACCATTTCAAACAAACGAAGAGTTATTTTGACTTCAGCATCTTTGTAACTCAAATAACTCTATCTAAGTGTCAAGATATTAGCCTTACCGCTTATGATCAAACGCGCTTATTACGAAAGATGACTTGTGAAATGCAAAATAAATTGCAAATAAATGAATCGTTAATATTTGCAACTTTATTCCCCTTGGTTGGCTGAATGGTATAATTTTGGATCATTAGGTTTACTCTTGTAATATTACGTAATATTAGACCAACATTAGTTATTACATTATTAGTTATTAATGTTGTGGAAACTTGTAAAAATTAGAGGAAGAAAAAGGTGTTTTCAGTTTTCTCTCTAGAGAACTCGAATGATTTATTAATGGTACCGAAGACAAATTTTATTTTGTACCGAGTTAAAAATTCTACACACCATCCGTGATGGATATTTCTAATGCGGTCATGGCCCCCTGGTATTCTAAATGTGCATCAAAAAGATCGATTGATTCACTGTCTTGTTTGGACAATTTTCGCGTCTACTTCATCATTTCTAAAAGTTATGAATCACTTTGTGAACTGTTGTAGAATTTACTAATTTTAAATGGAGTGCATGTTTTAGAGTTCAAATACTGTCTAAATTACACTGCAAGATTAATATACCCTCAGTAATGTGAGTATTGTGTGAAAAATACACATTTATTGACTTCTCGTAATAATGTCTAAAATTTAGGAGTTGAAATTGGCAATAAAAACAATATAGTATAGGGATATAATCCAAAACTTCACAAAACAATTACCTAATCTCTAAATACGCTAACCGTTTTAAAATGTATCTTTAGGAACTCTTGTTTATAGATTTCTAGAGTTTGATTGCAGGTGAGGAATGGTCAAGATACAAAACAAGGAAACATTTCAACTATGTGTATTATTACTTTGCTGCTGAAACCTACTAACAATGTTTTATTTGGATGAACATTATGACTCTTAATATGACCTTTTATTACAAGAAGCAGAATTTTGTTACAGACGTATGACATATACAACTAGTTCTCTCACAAACTTTAAACCTCATTTGGATTTTGAAATGTATGAACTGCGAAAATTTGGAACATATATGAGAATTTTTAAGTTTGTATCTTGATTCCAAAATCAATTTTACGTTTGGAATAGAACATATCACACTGCTTTCCATATTTTCTCAAATTGCGTTTTTACAATGCAATGTAATCTGTGTTGAACCCTATACATGGTTATCTCTGTAAAGAAAAATAATTCCATTTACTTTCAAAATTCATTTTTATATTTTTTCAAATGGTTTCAATAATAAAAATGTAGGCAAATGTGGTGATTGTGTTTTAGTTCTGTACAGGGATAGAGAGGGTAAATGATAGAATAAGGAAGGCCGTAAATGGTGAAACTAATAAAAAATTCTGCTTTAAGGTCGAATCGAAGAAATGAAGATCGCTCATCATCTTCGCGTCACTCCTTGTCATCAGTCCTCCCATCAGACGTCAGATCAGATGTCACCATATTGGGAAGTACGGGAACTGTATCACGAAGTATGTAGCAGCGAATGTTCGAATAAATATACGTATTAACAGAGATAACAGGGCCTAACAGACAACACTTCACTGAGTTATCAAAACCAAAACTTTCTTAAAACACATTTAGATAGAATGTATTATAAATCAAAGATACGTGATTAATTTATAATACGACTAAATGAAACAATAGACTGATTAAAAAATAAACGTTTGAAAAACAATTTTCAAAATTTTTATTATATTTCGCCTTTTACAGTCCTAACCGATTAGACCATTCTCTTAAAATGAACAATGCTTGACTATCTAAAGAAATGTGTACGTTTTTGTTTTCACGTAAATCGTTATTAATAATGTGTATAATTCAAAAACTGACAAGTACCAACGCGTTTGTTGTGCTCAGTTCGAAGTTTTTCATCGTTGTGAACTTTGTCATCAGATCCGCAATGTACAGTTCGCGATGAAAGCGTCAAACGGTTCTGAAACTCTCTTGCCTCTCTTACCGTTTGAAGCCTTTTTTACTCATTCTATACTTACTTTCCCACCACAGGCGTTCCTCTCCTTACAATATCTAACCTCTCAGCACGTCAGTGGATTATGAGCGATTGAGCACATCTGAGGCCAGTTCGCTAGACTAGACGTAGCTCTTCCAATCACTGGTCTTAAATCAAGTGGTTTCCATTACCAGACACATCAGTGGTGATGGCCAGTGAACAAGATATACGAGATCTATTTCTACTAGCTACAATTAGGTCAAACAGTCCGTGAGCTCCTGATGTGGTAATTTACCCCCACCCATCTCACATCCGTATGAACAGGCAAAATACATTGCTTGGCAAAAAAGAGGATATACCCCGTAGGAATGGTATGAAGCGAATGAAACTACATGTGATGCGAGACTATTTGACTGAATTCATTGAACTGATTACAATACGAGATGAAATAGACAAGGCCGTTAGCTGTTAGAGGTGAAAAGGTGGCGCCAAAAAGGTCAGAGTGTCAAACAGCCTTAGGAGCCACTTGAAATAGGTTTGTCCACAGTTTTTCAGCTGTTCCTCCGGATCCTACAGGTTGATACTGCGAGGAAGTGTCCTTCCAATAGAATTTCACACGTGTTCAATAATTGTCCGGAGATCTTGCTGGCCATCAAAGCATGTCACCATGCCCTAGGCAGTCTGTAGTGAGCGTGCATTATCTTATTGGAATACTGTCCCAGGGTGCTGTGTCATAAGGGATAGGACGTGCGGGCACAGAATGACTGACATGTAGCTGTCGAAGCACTACTACAAGTGATTTGACCACAAATCCGATAGTTCCCCATCCCATGATGCACGGGATTACGCCTGTGTCTCTCCAAATTTTGAGAAGGGAGGTGCTCTCTGTCTTTCACGCCACCAAACTCGAACGCGATAATCATTGGTTGTTATTTGTTGTAATGGACGGTCGCAATACGCGTCAGGTTGCGACGCGTATTGCGATATTTTATTCAATATCACTTTTCTGTAAGTCTTTTTTTACTCATTTTTTCACTTTTTCACTCGGCCGCATCCGATGACTCACTGGAAAAGACTGCCGCATCCGCCGTCTCCTAATCCGGCAATTCAGCTACAAGTGTTCTTGGAATTTAAGTGACGTTTGAGTCTCAACAGAACTTGGCTAGAGTCAAACGGCCATCAATGACGACACGATTCGGCGGAAGACACCACTTGACGCGCGCTCGCCAATCACGGAAAACGCGGGTTAGGGCCACGTGACCCGCGAAGCTGAGGAGGTAGCTGCAAGACGCAAGCTCGGCCATTCCGATAGAGGAGGTGACAGAGTAGAAGTGTCTTTCTGAGGTAGGGACGAGGGCAGATTCTTTAGTTTACGGGGGGGGGCAGTGAATACATTACCACATCGCCGCCGCGCCGCCACCCGAATGCATCATCGCCACATCGCGGGCCGCTAACGCAAGGACGAACGCCACGGGCCTTGACTGAGTGCCCGACCGCTAGCCCAGGACTGGCGACTGGCCGAGGCACAACCACCGCCGCCGCGAACCGCGCCGCCGATGCCCGAACCAGCGTTGCTGGCGCTCGTGAACGCACCACGTCGCCTGCCACCGCATCCATCGTCTGACCGCGCCACCACCGACCGCACCGCGCCAAGCACCAGGGAGAAGGGCCGCAGCTTCTGTAACCAGGGTCGTGACCGCCACGAAGGACGCCGCTCTGCCTGCAACGATGAACTCTGGCCCGAAAGAGAATACGTATAATTATAGTTTTAAGGAATGATTACAACAAAATCCGCCACCTCATGCAAAGGGAACATTAAATCCACCTTAGAACATACCATGTGTTTCAATGCATGAACGAGAATAAGCACTACCACGCTAGCCTCATTTTAAGGAGTCTACGGACAGAGCAGCCGGGGCCACGCCGGATTCCCGTAACCAGGTAATCATGCTAGTCGGGGCAGCCACACGGTGCGTGCAGTCACCATTATCCATGCTTCCCGGGCACGGCACCAATCCAAACGCTGACATCAGTGTTCTGGTGTCAATAGCGACCGACGCGTGGGAAGGTGGGGCCCCATTCCGGAGTCGTTCAGCCACCGTGCGGGAACTCCCAGGTTGTTATAGATTCACCAGAACATGTTTGCGGATGGTGAGTGATGTCATGGGATTCCGCACTGCTTGGCACACCATACGACTGTCCACCCCAGAGGTTGTGTTTCTTGGTCGACCCGAGCATGCACGACGTGCATGGGTACCCTTGTGTACCCAACTACGTCCTCTGTGACATCTGAACGGCCCACAAACCAGGTTCCATAAAGTCCCGCAATGCGTCCTGTGCCAAACGCAATTGGATAGGCTATCGTACGCGTCTGCGTTGCATCGCGTGTGCTTCTTACTGTAGATAAACGTCTTTATTCACTCTGACTCAAGGTAGTTGACTGGTAACAACTGCGCAACAACAGGGCGATAACATCACGAATGCACTCTAGTGGACGTTATATATTACAGATGTGTGAATTTAATAATTTACCCACACGTGGTACGCATGTGTACTAAAATGGGGAAATATTAGACCACTCCTTCTGGGTGCATCACTTTTTTTGTCAGGCAGTGTATGTTATTAAAAATGAATAGAGTTAAAGACACCACTCGTGTCTAAATATTTAATTACTTCATTCGACAATTTTACCGTGAAGTGGGGTTTTCTTGAAGAATAAAAAAGAAAAAATTGAAAAGGCCCTGAAATATCTCATTTTTCGACGACACGAAAAACATAGTCCGAAGCATTATGCACGTAAAGAAACTTAACACGAATTTCTTAACAGGTTTTAATATCTTAAAATGTACCTATTTCAAATTATTAACAATCGATATCAAAAACACATCATTAAGTATTTTAAATTGCATTTGTACCTGATTTACAGGGGCTTTCAACAAATCATTGAAGTTACAAAATGAAACGTAGTTAAAATAATATCATGGACACCTTCAAAACGACGATTTCTAATTTTCTTTTCGCAGAAACGGCATTATCACAAATCCCGCCCCGCGGGTCCGATTAAAATCCAGAATAATCACGCGTTCTGCGGCAATACTATAGTTTAATAAGATAATTAATGTTTTCTGGATCAGGTGTGTCGGAGTCTGGATCGACGCTAACGTCCCAGGCGCTAGAGGTGCCGATGCTCACTTGTCTTCCGATGGATCACACGCAGCCCACCAGCGAGGGAGGTGAGCAGTCGCGCTTCGGCCCGAAACAGTTCAGGACCGGCCCGAAACCGTTCAGGTGGCAGCGTGTCAAATGCAGTGCCTCCTACTGGGAGGTCGTAGGATTTGAGGTCCAACGGTGCCAGGATTTTCGACATCAGCCAGAAAGCTTGGCCAAATTCAGCCGCCGTCGAGAGGAGAATTCTAAGACCCCCCCCCCTGTTTGGTAGTTTTCGATAATTTCTCCGATCACTACCAGCCGAATTCCGGGGCAATATACCCTAATAAACGGACCGCGTGCGATTATTTTTACCTTTTCCTCGCCCTTTCTTCATCGTTTCCTCGTCCTTACTCTTACACACATGCACTTACATGCACGACAGACGCACACATGTCTAGAGCTTGTGGCGGCTGGCCTGCTGGTGGCATGAATGGTGAGACCTCGCAAGTCGACGTGCCGGTCGGCACCGGGTCTCGCCCGCCACCGGGCGAAGAACAACGCACACTACCGCAATAAGAGCACGAATGGACTAACTACGGGAAACTCACGGAACTAATGACCACAGAGCAGTTGATTCTCCCGGAAACGCGAAACAATCATTCCGTGTAAGAGTGCAATAGAGGAAAACACACTACACAAAAAAAATTGAGATCACGATGTACCCACGTGAATTTGTTTCCAACGCAGTTCGCTTGGAGATTGACACTCATTGACAATGGTTCGAAGGCAGACTCCAAAATATATTTCAAAATAATCTTTGTGGGCACTTGATACGTAAAAATCGAATGGCGGCATAACGTCTTGTCAGCCTGTTCGTCTGCCAGTCCGTCAGTGAAATGAAATCCAAAATTGATATTACTCAATAAATTTGGCTGATATCGCGGCCCTATAAATTTGAAACTGCTATTTTAATTTTGGGGGTACTTTACATGAAGTCCCTGAGATATATTTTTAAAATTTCAAAACAATGGCTCCAATTTTTTTTAAATTATTTTTTTTGTTGAATAGTGG